CTCCAGCTTATGATAGGTGATAGACCCGACTACTGCAACATAAACCAGCATGGTATCTCTTGCATGGAAGCAATTGTGATTTTGTCTTATCCCGGCCTGGTCTAACAATCACTTCCAATCAGAGAGTGGAATGCTAAAGACCGAAGGGACGTAGACTTGAAATTGACAATAATTGTGTAAATGCGTGCTGAAAACGCCAATTGACAAGTTCTCAACATTTTTCATAAGCCAACTGGAACACTAAAAAATGGAATGCATAGAATTTTGTGAATAATAAAAAGTACAGATACATCGATGCAAATCAACTGGACAACAAACTCGTGCAGTAAAAGCAATGTAGCATCTTGCAATTTAAATGGAATCGTAGGCTAACGGTAGATACCAGATGCCAATTTATGAATCGGGGACAAATGCGGTTGAAAATAACTGTCAGAAGTTCTAATCGATTGTAATCATGTTGGGTAGAGTTTTATTGATCGACGGATATATGGAATAGGCAAATCTGATTAACAAGGTCAGTATGAACGAATCGCATCACGTTTTCACACGTATTTATAAGTTATTCGTGCCGTGAACTACTGAAAATGAGAAGAAAGAGACCGACCTGCTATCGGTCTGCTCATTACTCTGACCCTTTTGGTGTATTCACTTTTCTATGATCAGAACCGAGCGAGGCAGCATTTTTACCGTTTCCATACTGACTTTTATTCTCAGACTTCTGACTGTGTCACATTACCGCTTTCATTATTCGGAACGATATTTTGTTGTCATTCGTTGGCGCCATATGTGACTGGTATTCGGATTGTTGAGGTGTGGTTGGGATAGGGATTGGGCTTAAAAATAGACCCAACCCCTATTCCAACTACGCATTCTCACTTACCTTGTGTGCATTATGAGTTTGGCAGAAACCAATGAAGTTCGCTTCACTATATTACACTGTACTTTGATGATGATGATGATGATGATGATGATGATGATGATGATGATGATGATAATGATGATGATGGAGCTAATTATCGGCCCCTTCTCTGGACTGTTTTGACTGACCGACCAATTACTTCCCTCCCCAAAATGAACCCTGTTCAATATTGTTTGTAGAACGAGGAGTTTCAGATATGGAAGAATATAATTTATGCGAACACATGACAGATGATCAAATATTAGGATCTTAGTGGTAAGCGCTGTTACAGCTTCCCGAGTTAGCTTTTTCTACCTTAATCTGAGTACTCCTCGAACTGTGGTTCACTCATGGTCAGACTTTGACCGGGGGACATACAAAACGATTTTCACCAAATGCGGTAGAGAGGATCGAGCACGCACACAAATAACAACAACAACAACAACGGCAACAAAGGACACTACAGTACTTGATCGCGGAAGATAAACAAAAAAGGAAAATGATGCTCATCATCATCAGCTTGGCATGGAGATGGGGTTGCACAGGAAATCCATATGTTAACTTTGGAATAAACAAAAGATTCGGAACCTATTTTACGAACTGTAGGGTTGAATCGGTCATCAATAAGTAACTCAAATCACAACTTTCAAAAGCTTCTCATATAGGACCAAGAAGATGAGTAGTACGTGCGCACTGTACTCTCTGGGTACTAGACCTTGTGCAATACCAGTTGATCGAATACTATTTCAAAATGTCCGGGTATCATTTTAAGTTGTCTGACGGTCATTACAAGTTGGTTCATTATCATTTCAAATTGTCTCGTTAACCCCATTGGAGTTGACAGGCCCATGTACTGTTCAAGCCTCCTAGCGATGTCTGGATGACCGCCATGCAGCACAGATATCTCAAACTCGGGCGAATAGTTATGCAGCCCGCATTTTGAGATGACACCAACAATATACATTTTGAAAAGCATTCCAATCCTTTAGCCTATACTTTCTTATACAATTTCGTAACTATCTTTACATGCAGGGTAAACTTCGACAGCCCTCGTTACGTTATTTCAATTGCAATTGGTCTGATAAAGATATTGCGTTCCGTTCCCGAAATATGGCTAAACTGGTCATTTTTATTGTTCAGTACTGCACCATGCTTCTGTGACGGTATCACAGAAATCGAATATAATCTGCAAGTGTCGAAAAAACTGGATGTGCTTCACGTCAACAACACTGATGATGACGATCGATCGATCGATCGTTTGAGCATGATCGATTGGTGCCCTATTACAACCGATTGACCACAGCCACAAATTGTTTACCCTCCAAAATGTGTCATGACTCATGAGAAAAATGTACACCAGTCACCTAAACCCAGCGAATTTTTTCACTGTCTTTCTATCCGAAGTTAAACCTGTCAATTTATAACCGATTGTCCGATTTGAATCAACATCGTGCATCGTGCAATCTTCTTCTCAGCTGAAGATAATCAATCAGTTAACTTTCGATAATGTTGCATTTTCGGTTCATTCTGCACTTCCTCCTCGGATAGTACTCCAGTCATCTATGCATATGTCGGTTCACAGCATAGACGACAACGTTTTGGTCGGTCACAGGATTTCTTTACTGTATCGATTGACGTCACTAAACTCGGTTACAAGATTGCGCCTTTTCTGTAGATAGTAATGCGCGACCCCATTACTATTATGAATCTGTTGCTTAGACTACACAAACTACCTATGACATCATACGTTTCCGCTTTCGTGCATGCTGTTTGGTTCCTCCGGGTACTCCGTTACAAAGACACGTTTTTGCAATCTGCCTCAGCATGGTTCAATTCCCTTTGTTTGTTTGATCGTAGATATTGTTGAAATGTTATACACAATTCATCACACGTAATGCGTGTCCATGTTTTTTCACCGAAGGGACAGATACAGCTTTTAAAAAACGATTTAAATATTGATCTTTCAATAATGCATTCACTGTTCAGGTCAAGAGAAAAAATCTCTCACAAGGAGAAAAGTGAAAAATGTAATGAATCTCCCGATAGTGCTGGGTCATTCACTCCATGACCATTTAACATGTTCTACCATCTTATGTAGCTTTGTTTTGCTTTAAACTCAATGGCACATTTTCAGCTGAAGATAAATAAAATACATTCCTCATCTGACTTGACTTGGAGAGTGCTCATTGCTCATTGAGGTACAATGCGCACAGAGACAACAACACCCACTTCACCTGTATTTCTACCGTATAGCAGTACATTCACAAAACTGCAAAACCGCACTACGTATTGGTCATTACATCTGCTCAAAATAAAACAGAAAATATGGATGACCTCAACCACCAGGGTTGTCCGGTTATCGTCAGGACGGATAACTGGAACACAATTTCATCAAGGTCATGCGAGCTATAGCGTTGTGGTCCAGGTTCCTCAAAGTGCTAGTACACCCGACAGCATTTTCCGATTCCCTTCCTCCGGCGTGCATCATGCCTGATTCACACGCATTGCCACGCTGTATCCAGTTTAAAGTAGGTTAACATCTGTAGTGACCATTAGAGTGTACATGATCCTTGTTCTCTCGTAGAGAAACCTGACCGTCATTATTTAGGTCAAGATTTGGCTCTGATCGCAACAAGGTGCAAAATAACAGAAAAATCAAATAACTCATTACAGAATATTCACAAGGTTAGGTTAGGTTAGGTTGGTTATTATTATTATCAATACTATTGTCATCATCATTATTCGTAATATACCTTCTATATATGACTTATTCAATTCTCAATGGATTGCAGAAGAGACTCATCCGTTTGTGTAGGTGTTGGTGTGTTCTCCGAGCTGAAAATGCAGTGTAAATACGTTTCGTGGCCAGGTTATGCAAAAACCCGCAGTGTGGCTTCGGGGAAGTCGCACTAGCTACCAAACGTTGGCAAACAACACGTCCAACTCAGAGAACTCAACATTAGCAACATCCGCATCCTGAGCTACAATCATTTCACATTTTCCGTTTGCGTTTCTCATCAGCATACTGAGTCTGATTTTGACTTATCAGCTCTTAAGGGTTATGATCCCTTCCCATATTGTGTCTTTCCACATATCTAACTGACCTCTCTTGCACCATAAGTAACCGGAAAATGTTTGTCTTCCTAGATAGGCACACACCTAGCAAATTTTTCTGAACGCTTTCAATCAGCAGATGACGGATTTTATTTGTTTTTAATATTCTACTGTTCACGTAACAAAACTGCTGTATATGTATTCATACCCGAAATAGTGCCACTTCTTTCTTTTTTTTCAAAGCGACTACGCTCGGTTTAATTTCAGTACCGATTTTTTTGTCAGTTTTTCTCCCTGGAGCCCCTTGTTGTATTTAACAAAGCAGCAGGTTTGAAACCAAAAGAAATAATTGCAATACAGACAAATTGCACGTCACGAGTTGGTAATTCTTTGGAAAGAGGACGACACTGGGGATTGTCAGGGTATACTGATCATCAATTAATAGGTGTTGTTTAAGGAAAAGAACAGAGGACTGAAAATAGGACGGGCAGTGCACGCACGCACACCTTACCACAAGAACAATCTGAACATGGCTCAATGGTTATTCTATTCTATTCTATTCTACTATTCTTAATCGGTGAATCTACGAAACAACGTTCCATTTACCTTTTGCAAAGGTTGCATTCACAATATTGTTTTTCCGTTTCGTTCAATAAATATGCGTAACAAGATAAGCAAATCCCGTGTATCCAAGGCGTACTACTTTAGACAGATCAAGGATTCGTGATGTTACATCATGGATATGGTAGTGTATGCAGTTGTATGTATGCATTGGTTCGTCCCCTGTCTGGTGGTGATATGAAACACGATGAACAAATTTGTTACCGGTCTCCATTCCACCCAATCCACCCCCTACCATCCATTTCGTCGCCAGCTATCGGGTTCGCGATACATCTCGTCTCTCTCTCTTTCTCTGTATCTCTCCCCCATCCAGTCTACCTTCCGCTTCTTGCTCGCTTGCTTCGTGATAACTCTCGATTCTAGATATCCGTTATACGCACACACACACACACACACACACACACACACACACACACACACACATTCGACGGATAAGTTGGTTTCGTGAATTCACGCATCACTCATCTGCGTCCGCTTGATAATACATTCACGCACGACCGTGATACATACATCATCCGATATCTGCAACTGGATTGGTTCGTCAGATTAGCCGATCGGCCAATCAGAATGCCACAGACTGCCTATATTGACGCTCCCGTCGGATAAGGGACTGGTTGATTGTTCGTCCGTTCACACGTTCGGATTCATGCTACAACGATCCTGATGATAACACACGCCTAAACACGCACACACGCACGCAACACACACGGACATATGGATTCGGGTGTAGTTTGCGCTACGATGAAAACCACGGAATTTTGATTGCCACAATCTCCGCACATACGCACACGCGCTCGCTTGCATCCATGTATGCACGCACACACGCACGCACAAAAGTTTACCTATTCAAACACACAAGCACGTGCACGAATTCCGATGATCACGGGCACACGGTAGTTTATCATTTGGTATTGTGCGAGAACGATCCAACTNCCATTCACTTCATTCGTTATTCACCCGTACCGGACCGAAGGTCGGATTTGGGAAGTGAAAGCAATTGCGGTTGCGGTCAGAACATACTACCTAAGCAATCTGGATCGGGGCTCTGACACGCATACGCACACACACACACATTCAGTGCTCGATGGATCATCATTCTCCTCATCATCATCACATATCCAAAACCATGATCCATTCCAAAGAGTTGGGACATGAGACTTCCGGATTGACTGATTCTATGACCAATTTTTGTGGTACTACACCTGTTGGAGCTGCTGGCAGCGGCGAGGGTGCTGTTCACGTTCTCCGTTGCGTCGAATGCGGTTTTGAATCCTTGGTTCGACACCGGTTCGCCGCGCACGTGCCTTGTGCCACTAAGCATGAATCCTATCTGATCTATGCGTGTTCGCAGTGTTCGGCCTATTCGACCTCACAGAGTCTGATGCAAGAACATGGAGAACTATGCCATGCAGGCCAGCCAGTAAGTCAGATTGGACGAAACTTATGCGTACAAGTCCGATTTATGTTCCACATTCTGTCGTATTTTACCGAGTTTCTTCCTTAAGTAGCTTAGGTTAAACCGAAATATCGGTCTACTGTTTTGCACCACTAACTGCTTTGCTAGGGAGATTTTTCTGTTAATCCAGGGTAACTAATTATCTATCTATCTGTGGCAATAGACCAGTTATGTGTTAGGGGAAGGGAGGCAGCGAGAGAGAGAGACTTGGATGCTATCGTGCTATCGTTTCGAAAAGCCAAAAACCCATACTGACGCATTAATTATCAATGGCTACCCTCATTTCCAAATGATAACTCACAAACTGGACTTCATATTGATGGTTAAATAGAAGCTTTCCCGCATTACTTTTAGTATCCAAATTTATCCGTCGATCAGTGAGAAATCAATGGGGGCAGTATTGACTTGTCGAATAGGACAGGTAACTGTCGATCGATTGTGTACATCATATTTCGCAACCTGTTCAAATTGTGCGAGATGTGTTGTGTTCACAGTACAACATCGCTGAAAACAAAAACATGGTTCCGTTCGGTTTCAGACAAAGTCTAATTACTCCAATCAGTTTGAGCTTAACGAACGATACTGCGATCCTTGGAAAGAGAAGGGATTATGGGACAAACGCCATCGTTTCGAATTAGACCAATGTGCGTAGCCGCGCCACTCAGATGATGGCCATATTTTCTACGCGGAAGCTCACGAAAAAAACGCCGACACGTGAAAGATATTGAGTACAACTTTTCCCGCGATGTCACTGCAGCAAGTTGAATGATTCTATTAAGTGTTCCCTATCCCAGACCCCTTACACTGAGTGTTCGAACACGCCAGGATACTATTTTTCCCTATTGGCTGACAACTTATGCAGAGCTGTCACATATAGGTTCCTCTCCTTTTCTACCAATCATGAACCCAAACAAGCATCAACAAGGGTAAACTATACTGGCGTCACACCATCAAATAGCTTATCGTGGACCACGCAGACATTCTTTAAAACTAGAAAGTTGTCATAGTTCTCACTCCGATTAGAAATACTTCTATCCCGCACAATCTGGTGGTAATGGAAATGCATACATACTCCCCAACTGGACGTTCTACTTCACAGTAATTTCCTTTGGTCTTGTTAAAACATATATCACCAGGTAACAATACCCCAACAACACCTTTCCAAATGCAGGTGCCTTACCCGAGATATATTTGTGAACAGAAACCTCAAAGCCTGCGAATAATTTATTTGTAAAATACTCTCAGACACTCATCATCCGTTACACAACAAACTTTCGAAAATTACATCATCTACACACTGAAGGTCCAGTCTCATATTTTCTCCTACCTCCGTATACAGTAAATCTCTTTTGTTTTTCATATCCCACACGTCGGATTGTTAACCAAAAAAATGTTCCGTAGAATTCCGAAATCACTCATTGCTTCATGCAAACAGTTGATGTCTGATTTATTCTCATTTACCATTGTCCACGATTCTAAGATGTGATGTAAAAAGGTCATCAGTTCGCTCACACGGTGGTATAAAACTACTGCTGCGGTTTACTTGGCATACACTTTCTCTTCGCAGTCGCATAGCATCAATGATGCATGATGATCAGGATAAATTGCTATGCATCATGCATCATGCATTGGAAATGTGAACTGTGCGGGCACAAACTCATCATCCGTGAGAGTGCACGGTTGGTTTTTAGTGAAGTGATGTACTGTACAGTACTCTCTGAGGCTCGTTATCAACGGGCCGTTGAACCAGAATACCGGTTCGGGTTCTTTTGTTGTTCCGTGTGAAGTCACTCGGCGTGTCATGGAATGTTAAACACAATGATGACCACTCATTTGATGGGCACTATTTCAAATGTGATGGTTTCTCGAATTATTTTCATCCCCAATGTTAATCTTCCTGGGTTAAATAAAAGACTTCCTTTCAACTGAGGTAATGCGACATGTTGGCTGGAAATGTATCGATTGAGAATAGAAACGTGCAGATGTTCATTTAAGAAAATAACAGAAAATGTCAATAGTTTATAGGATCACTATGTGTATTTTGAGTCAGTGACGCATACCGGACAAATGTTGCAGAGCACATAGTAGTGCTTTAATATATATATATATATATGACGTCATTATTATTTTTATTGGTTTTCACTTTGAATTCACGATCCTAAATTGCAGCTGAGATCCTCAGTCACTGCAAAAAAATGAGACGAGAGGGACTTTTTCATGTGTGAGCGTGATACACCACAGAAAACCTATCTCTCGCCGAATCCACCAAAAAGCAGTTGACCACACGCACGAAATGGACTGTCGTATGTATGGGTGTATGCAAAAATACAAGAAGTCACGTAACGCAATAAAACGAATGCGTCCGTTGTTTTCGCTGCTGTTCGCGAACAATTTTCACTCCGGAGAGATTAGACCAAGTTTGTGATGGATCATACCGTTTAGCGTACTATGTCTTGTTTGCACTCACTGATCTCAGTCCAGTGACGCTACCAGTGTTGGCTCACATAAAATAAGTGCGAGATAGTTTTGACAGCTGTGCCGCTGCTGTATGATTACTGCATGGTGTTTTTCTTCTTCCACGAATGACTATTTACGCGGAGGGGGTAATATCTGATTGCTACTGTGCCATTCTGGGTGTGTGAATCGTGATATCATTGTACTTACACTCAGTCAGTCGTCTTGTGCACTGTTGATTTTGACTGATATGTTTCGTCTAGCCCAGACAATGACAATGACGTGTGTTTGACGTTTAACATCTGCTCTTTCTTTCTTTCTTTCAAAGTTGTGCATAGTATTAAACAGGCAGTGTGAAAATAGAGAAGGCAAAAAAAACGCTGCAATTCAATATAGAGTTATCCGTGATAGAATGTAAGGAGAACTGTTCGCTCGATCGATTCGCATGCACGGTCCGCTGAGTACGCATTCGAATCTGCAACATTTCTGGTGATCGGTTGTTGGCAAAAAGGAACGGTGTCTTGAATGACTCGATACTATTTGACTGTTTTCCACTCCAAAGTATAAATCCCATTCAGTTCCGTGATAATAAATCCAAACTGATTTGTTTCGGGGCCAGGGAGTGGAAATTTATGACTTTCTATCAAAATGGCACATTACAAGTTACGGACTGCTTGTAACTAGCACAACGGACAGGGACTGAGTGATGTATGTGACACAGCAAACTCGTGCTTTGACCAGCAGATGCAAACTGTTATTTAGTTAACAAATACATTCATTAGGAAAAGTTTACTTCCAGAAAAAGGCGTATGATGAGATAAGAGTTAGACGGTGAAAAACAAGTTATCCGCCAACTCTGAATTATCTTTCAGATCTATTTTACTGTGAGTATTTCTGTCCCTGATTGCTTTTTACAAACTGGGCAAATTCCTAGATAGACACTTAGATAGAGATAGAGGCAGAGAAAAAGGAAAGTGGCAGTCCATCCAGTATCGTCCAGTTATGTACTGCATCCATAAATGCCTGTCCTTATGGCTAAGGCTTGGTATATCTGATTGTACATGTTCGTTCTGCCTGCCTGCCTGCCTGCCTGCCTGCCTGCCTGTGTGTGTGTAGGACTGGTGTAATGTTGCAACTGTAAAGGTGAGAGACTTCTACAAGCCAATTTACGGNAAGCCAATTTACGGGGGGTTGCCACACAAGTTCACATATACGACGAGGTTATATGATTAGATACGTCTGTTGGCCATGGCCAGACAGTAAAACATTCATGGTTATACAGATGCATGCGTTTGCGGGCACGCGCGTGCGAGACATCGAGATAGAGGGAAAAAGAAAAACCTCTGTTGAGAGTGGGTACTCGTTCAATCATCGTGAAGATCTACACTAGGGCATAAAGTGCGCAGTGGTCCAATGCACACCCCTATCCTCCCTTCGGTATCTAAAGTTGTCCGAGTCCGCTCAACTGACCTTGTTCCTTTACTTTTCTTCTCACTGTTTCGGTTATTGTTTACCGGATTTGACTATCTGTTTGTCTGTGTTGTTTTGGACCCTGTGTGTGTATGTGTGTGTGTGTGTGTACGTTCGCTCGCTTGCGTATACACATAGAGTCCTTCTTTCATCTGTGATGATCGTAAATGCTAAGTGGTGGTACTTGGACCGTTGCAATAATATTGTCCGGGGGATATTTTTCACACTTGTGATCGGCTGTTTCAACCGGACAGATGAGTGTGGTTCTTCTTGTTGTTGTTATAGTTCGCTCTCTTCTATGTGACGATGCTGGATAGCTTTGATGGGCTGGAGTGATGTGAGGTGAGGGAGGGTCAGTGGAATGAAAAGAGGAGTTGGTGAGCGAGTGGGGGGGGAGTCAGTTTATATGTGGCTGAGGAAACCGGATCATAGACGATCATAAAACTCGTGGTTTTGCACAAGATAGGACGAGTTCATTCCGCGTGGTCGGCTGTATGGCGTATATCGTCAACCCGCCCTGAACCGATACACTAAATTGCCAACGTATACCTGAGAATTGATTCAAGTTCACCACTTCCAGACAGATACACACCTCTCAACGGTTCATCTATTTTCCTCCCAATTTATCCAATTCGGTCTTCCAAAATTGGCACTGAGAAAACCTTATTACATGTGAGTAACGGAAGATTTGATTCAATTTCAAAGGGGAAATTCGTCGTGTATATGTCAAATGAAGCATGAACTGAAAAGCTAGGAAGCACTGGACAGCTGTTTCGACCTGGTTCGGTCTCAGCAGTAGTGCGAATCCATCGACCCAACTGGGGATCGAACTCGAGACCACACAGGCAGAAGGCAAGCATGCTACCCACTCGGCCACCGCGTAGCTGATCAAACCGTTTTTTTCATTTACCATTTACACGATGTAGCATAACCCATCTTTGCGAACTTGTTCCAGGTCACAGACCTCGCTCATCTCAGCACTAGCCCCCGGGGTCATGACTCGGTTGGGAACTATCACAACCCAACTACTTATTTCATGT